CTTGACTAAAACGTCGAAACAGTTGAACTGTAACAAATACATTGCCCAGCAATGGGTCCACGTGGAGCAAAGCACACAACCATGTCAGACAAGATACGTATTGCACTGTGTCAACACAAGGAGAAGAATCCGAAGCTGACACACGAGGAGCTTATCAAGTGGATAGAAGAAAACCATCAGATTACTGTCAGTGGAAGTACAATCACCAACACACTCAAGCGTTCTGTTGAGCTCCTCGATAACTTTGAAGATGCGAACCTGGACACCAAGCGCCAGAGGACAGTCAGGTATCCGAACATGGAATCGGCCCTTTTTGAGTGGCTCACGACATATCAAGACCAGGTCAATATGTCTGGAGATCTCCTCAAAAAGACTGTGGCCCATTTTCTTGACCGTCTCTACCCCGGACATCAGCCATTCCAGTTCTCAAATGGCTGTGCATTCAAGGAACGCCATGGAATTCGCTCTTTCCGTCGCTTTGGGGAGAGTGGCTTCGTTGACATGGCTATGATCAATGATGCTCTGCCTGCGATCAGGGAGACTCTTGACAAGTATGACCTGTGTGATATTTACAATATGGACGAAACAGGGCTCTTTTACCGCATGCAGGTGAGTTCATTTGATAATGACATGTATTTCTTTCATGCTTAGTTTGCTAATCATACAGCATATCCTAAACAGGCGGATAATTCACTTTTGACCAAGCAGTTGGAAGGTCGTAAGCAAAACAAGGAGCGGATTACATTAACTATTTGCTGCAACGGGGATGGTTCCGACAAGCTGCCCCTGTGAATTATCGGAAAGTACAGGAATCTCCGTTGTTTCAAAAACATCAACCAGGCAAACCTTGGATGCACATACCGAAAAAATGCCAAGGCATGGATGACCCAAGCAATTTTTGCAGAATGGCTTAAATCTTTTGATCGTCGCATGGCAAACCGAAAGGCTCTTTTGCTTCTTGACAGCTGCAGCGCGCACATCCCGCTGCCAGATATTCCAAGCCATGTGAACTTGCAGAACACG